CGCTACAAGCTTGGCACACCAGTATTTGGGGAGTTTCTCCCATTCTTCTCTGCAGATCCTTTCAAGCGCTGTCAGGTTGGATGGGGAGCGTCGCTGCACAGCTATTTTCAGGTCTCTCCAGAGATGTTAAATCAGGTTCAAATCTGGGCTCTGGCTGGGCCACTCAAGGACATTCAGAGACTTGTCCCGAAGCCACTCCTGCATTGTCTTGCCTGTTTGCTTAGGGTCGTTGTCCTGTTGGAAGGTGAACCTTCCCCCCCAGTCTGAGGTCCTGAGCGCTCTGGAGCAGGTTTTCATCAAGGATCTCTCTGTACTTTTCTCCATTCATCTCTCCCTCGATCCTGACTAGTCTCCCAGTCCCTGCCGCTGAAAAACATCCCTACAGCATGATGCTGCCACCACCATGCTTCACCGTAGGGATGGTGCCAGGTTTCCTCCAGACGTGATGCTTGGCATTCAGGCCAAATAATCTTGTTTCTCATGGTTTGAGAGTCTTTAGGTGCCTTTTGGCAAACTCCAAGCGGGCTGTCATGTGCCTTTTTACTGAGGAGTGGCTTCCGTCTGGCCACTCTACCATAAAGGCCTGATTGGTGGAGTGCTGCAGAGATGGTTGTCCTTCTGGGAGGTTATCCTATCTCTACAGAGGAACTCTGGAGCTCTGTCAAATCAAATCAAATCAAATTTTATTGGTCACATGCGCCGAATACAACAGGTGCAGACATTGCAGTGAAATGCTTACTTACAGCCCTTAACCAACAGTGCATTTATTTTAAACAAAAAAAGTAAGAATAAAACAACAACAACAAAAAAGTGTTGAGAAAAAAAGAGCAGAAGTAAAATAAAGTGACAGTAAGGAGGCTATATATACAGTAAAATAAAGTGACAGTAGGGAGGCTATATATACAGGGGGGTACCGTTGCAGAGTCAATGTGCGGGGGCACCGGCTAGTTGAGGTAGTTGAGGTAATATGTACATGTGGGTAGAGTTAAAGTAACTATGCATAAATACTTAACAGAGTAGCAGCAGCGTAAAAAGGATGGGGTGGGGGGGGCAGTGCAAATAGTCCGGGTAGCCATGATTAGCTGTTCAGGAGTCTTATGGCTTGGGGGTAGAAGCTGTTGAGAAGTCTTTTGGACCTAGACTTGGCACTCCGGTACCGCTTGCCGTGCGGTAGCAGAGAGAACAGTCTATGACTAGGGTGGCTGGAGTCTTTGACAATTTTGAGGGCCTTCCTCTGACACCGCCTGGTATAGAGGTCCTGGATGGCAGGGAGCTTTGCCCCAGTGATGTACTGGGCCGTACGCACTACCCTCTGTAGTGCCTTGCGGTCAGAGGCCAAGCAGTTGCCATACCAGGTGGTGATGCAACCAGTCAGGATGCTCTCGATGGTGCAGCTGTAGAATTTTTTGAGGATCTGAGGACCCATGCCAAATCTTTTTAGTCTCCTGAGGGGGAATAGGCTTTGTCGTGCCCTCTTCACGACTGTCTTGGTGTGTTTGGACCATGATAGTTCGTTGGTGATGTGGACACCAAGGAACTTGAAGCTCTCAACCTGTTCCACTACAGCCCCGTCGATGAGAATGGGGGCGTGCTCAGTCCTCTTTTTTTTTTCCTGTAGTCCACAATCATCTCCTTTGTCTTGGTCACGTTGAGTGAGAGGTTGTTGTCCTGGCACCACACGGCCAGATCTCTGACCTCCTCCCTATAGGCTGTCTCATCGTTGTCGGTGATCAGGCCTACCACTGTTGTGTCGTCGGCAAACTTAATGATGGTGTTGGAGTCGTGCCTGGCCATGCAGTCATGGGTGAACAGAGAGTACAGGAGGGGACTGAGCACGCACCCCTGAGGGGCCCCCGTGTTGAGGATCAGTGTGGCAGATGAGTTGTTACCTACCCTTACCACCTGGGGGCGGCCCGTCAGGAAGTCCAGGATCCAGTTGCAGAGGGAGGTGTTTAGTCCCAGGATCCTTAGCTTAGTGATGAGCTTAGAGGGCACTATGGTGTTGAATGCTGAGCTGTAGTCAATGAATAGCATTCTCACGTAGGTGTTCCTCTTGTCCAGGTGGGAAAGGGCAGTGTGGAGTGCGATAGAGATTGCATCATCTGTGGATCTGTTGGGGCGGTATGCAAATTGGAGTGGGTCTAGGGTTTCTGGGATTATGCTGTTGATGTGAGCCATGACCAGTCTTTCAAAGCACTTCATGGCTACAGACGTCAGTGCTACGGGTCGGTAGTCATTTAGGCAGGTTATCTTAGAGTTCTTGGGCACGGGGACTATGGTGGTCTGCTTGAAACATGTTGGTATTACAGACTCAGTCAGGGACATGTTGAAAATGTCAGTGAAGACACTTGCCAGTTGGTCAGCACATGCTCGGAGTACACGTCCTGGTAATCCGTCTGGCCCTGCGGCCTTGTGAATGTTGACCTGCTTAAAAGTCTTACTCACATCGGCTACGGAGAGCGTGATCACATAGTCGTCCGGAACAGCTGGTGCTCTCATGCATGCTTCAGTGTTGCTTGCCTCGAAGCGAGCATAGAAGTGGTTTAGCTCGTCTGGTAGGCTTGTGTCACTGGGCAGCTCGCGGCTGTGCTTCCCTTTGTAGTCTGTAATAGTTTTCAAGCCCTGCCACATCCGACGAGCGTCAGAGCCAGTGTAGTATGATTCAATCTTAGACCTGTATTGACTCTTTGCCTGTTTGATGGTTCGTCGGAGGTCATAGCGGGATTTCTTATAAGCGTCCGGGTTAGAGTCCCGTTCCTTGAAAGCGGCAGCTCTACCCTTTAGCTCAGTGCGGATGTTTCCTGTAATCCATGGCTTCTGGTTGGGGTATGTACGTACGGTCACTGTGGGGACGACATCATCGATGCACTTATTGATGAAGCCAGTGACTGATGTGGTGTACTCCTCAATGCTGTCTGAAGAATCCCGGAACATGTTCCAGTCTGTGCTAGCAAAACAGTCCTGTAGCTTAGCATCTGCGTCATCTGACCACTTTTTTATTAACCGAATCACTGGTGCTTCCTGCTTCAGTTTTTGCTTATAAGCAGGAATCAGGAGGATAGAGTTATGGTCAGATTTGCCAAATGGAGGGCGAGGGAGAGCTTTGTATGCGTCTCTGTGTGTGGAGTAAAGGTGGTCTAGAGTTTTTTTCCCTCTGGTTGCACATTTAACATGCTGGTAGAAATTAGGTAGAACGGATTTAAGTTTCCCTGCATTAAAGTCCCCGGCTACTAGGAGCGCTGCATCTGGATGAGCGTTTTCCTGTTGATTAATGGCCTTGTACAACTCATTCAGTGCAATCTTAATGCCAGCATTGGTTTGTGGTGGTAAATAGACAGCTATGAAAAATATAGATGAAAACTCTCTTGGTAAATAGTGTGGTTTACAGCTTATCATAAGATACTCTACCTCAGGCGAGCAAAACCTCGAGACTTCCTTGGTATTTGATTTTGTGCACCAGCTGTTGTTTACAAATATCCATCGGTTTCTTGGTCACCTCCCTGACCAAGGCCCTTCTCCCCCGATTGCTCAGTTTGGCCGGGCGGCCAGCTCTAGGAATAGTCTTGGTGGTTCCACACTTCTTCCATTTAAGAATGATGGAGGCCACTGTGTTCTTGGGGGCCATCAATGCTGCAGACATTTTTTGGTACCCTTTCCCAGATCTGTGCCTCGACACAATCCTGCCTCGGAGCTCTACGGACAATTCCTACCATGGCTTGGTTTTTGCTCTGACATGCACTGTCAACTGTGGGACCTTATATAGACAGGTGTTTGCCTTTACAAATCATGTCCAATCAATTGAATTTACCACAGGTGGAATCCAATCAAGTTTTAGAAACATCTCAAGGATGATCAATGGAAACAGGATGCACCTGAGCTCAATTTCTTATGTAAATGAGGTATTTCCATTTTTTATTTGTAATACATTTGCACACACAAAAAAAAAAAACGTTTCGCTTTGTCATTATTGGGTAGATTGATGGGGGGGGGGGGTAATTCAATCAATTTTAGAATAAAGCTGTAACGTCACAATGTGGAAAAAGTAAAGGGGTCTGAATACTTTCCGAATGAACTGTACATATTCTGAGATATGTCCAGGTGTTCCTACATTGTTCAGTCCAATGTAAACAAGGTACTAGAACAGTAGTGATAACAACAGGTGACCAACCACACGGAGAGATGATGGCGTTTGTGTGCTCGGTCATTCAAGCCATGAATGGAATACTCTCATTCTTCACTTACAGCACAATGTAATGATTAACTACTGGTTAGGATTCAGGGTTCAACAGGATGTCCACTGCTTTGGCAGGAAACTTGTTCCTGAAGCCAAGAGAGACAGTAATGCCACATGGATACGGCTGGCTGGTACTTGTTGGCTTCTGGAAGCAGTGATGATTAAAATAACAGTTCCAAAAGATTTTCCTGTGCCAGACCCAGACTGTGTGTGCTATAGTGTTGGTGTAGAGGGGAAAGATATAGCCTGTGACACAACCTGGCTGGTCCCACTGGGTCTTTTAGCCCTGAATATTCTGAACAGACATCAGTACTCTGTCATAGCCAGTCAGTGGTCTACAAGTATCAGTGCCACAGGTGTGTGAGAGAATGTGTGTTTGCAAATGTGGTGTGTGTCAGTTTGGGCTGGCAGAAGTCCTAGCAGGAAAGCATTCTATGTTGATGCAGTGGGATGTCCAATCCCAAACTGACACGGTCTTCTAGGCAATGTGAGCAACACGGTAACAGTGCACCCCTCTTCGCTAAAGGTCTGAATGTTTCCCGCCTGTACGGCATGGCCTGCTATCCACAGAGAAAGTGATCCTAGTAATCGTGTGTGTGTGTGTCCTGGGATGGGAAATGTCAGTCTTATTTTAGGAGGGCTGATAGTGGGGTGCTGGCTGAATGCTGCATGAGGTGGGGCTAGGGGAGAAGTGTGTGTGTGTGTGTGTGTATTTGCCTGTTGGTTGGGAGCCAAGCAGCTATACGTGACACTGGAGTAGTTCATACAGCAGACGCGCACCTCAAATCCCATTCAGAGAGTTACAGCCAACAGCCGCATCAAGGGTAGGTGCTTTGCTACAGACTCAATGCTGTGAAATCTGATGTTTACCTTGATTAATCTTTATTTTTTAAAACGTATTTATTGATCAGCATCGATATATTAAATACAACTTGAATATTGTTGATATTCTGTCACTTGCCACTTGCTGGCACAAAAAAAAGGCTTTTTGAATGTGTAGATAGATTTTTACAGTGGCAAAATATAATTTTGGGCTGTAGATTTTTTCCAGATCTTGTTGTAGATATTAAAAGGTCTTCATAAAGAGTTGTTAATGCCAGTTATCTGATAACTGTTCTGTAATGTATGCAAATCTGACGTTGTCATATAACAACCCTTTCTGCTGTAAATGCACACTAAAGTCCATTCTGAAAAAAGCATCTGACAAATTCTTGTCGTGTTAGTACTCAATAGTTTAGTATTGTATATATTCAGTGTGGAAGTACCCACTCATTTAAATGTGACATATGCACATTTAGTCATTGCGCTATGACCTTGCGCTATGAGACTGTGACAACTACCAAGTCTCTATTGACCAAAACCACTAAACGCATTGTGGGGCATACAAGGATACCTGTGTGCTGGATTTTCTTTTTCACACACAAGTCTAAAGTGTCACAGGAAGTCTTGGCTGGGCCACAGGGAATATGTATAAGGAAGACCATTCCTGCCACCCAAACATAAAATACATTCGGAAAGTTTTCAGACCCCTTGATTTTCCCCCCACATGTTGTTATGTTACAGCCTTATTCTAAAATGGATTGCATAAATAAATAAAAATCCTCATTAATCTACACACAATACCCCACCCATAATGACAAAACAAAAACAGGTTTTTAGAAATGTTTGCAAATTTATAAAATAAAACTAAACAGAAATACATTATTTAGAGAAGTATTCAGACCCTTTGCTATGAGACTTGAAATTGAGCTCAGGTGCATCCTGTTTCCATTGATCATCCTTGATGTTTCTACAACTTGATTGGAGTCCACCTGTGGTAAATTCAATTGAATGGACATGATTTGGAAAGGCACACACCTGTCTATATAAGGTCCCACAGTTGACAGTGCATTCTGGGCAAAAACCAAGCCATGAGGTCGAAGGAATTGTCCGTAGAGCTGCGAGACAGGATTGTGTTGAAGCACAGATCTGGGGAAGGGTACCAAAACATTTCTGCAGCATTGAAGGTCCCCAAGAACACAGTGGCCTACACCAAGACAAGTCTCTGAATGTCATTGAGTGGCCCAGCCAGAGCCCAGACTTGAACCCGATCTAACATCTCTGGAGAGACCTGAAAATAGCTGTGCAGCGACGTTCTCCATCCAACCTGACAGAGCTTGAGAGCATCTGCAGAGAAGAATGGGAGAAACTCCCCAAATACAGGTGTGCCAAGCTTGTAGCGTCATACCCAAGAAGACTCAAGGCTGTAATCACTGCCAAAGGTGCTTCAACAAAGTACTGAGTAAAGGGTCTGAATACTTAAGTAAATGTGATATTTCCATTTTTTATTTTGAATAAATTAGCAAAAATGTATGAGGTATTGTGTGATTGAGGGGGGAAAAAACCAATTGAATCCATTTTAGAATAAGGCTGTAACATAACAAAATGTGGAAAAAGTCAAGGGGTCTGAATACTTTCCGATTACATTGTAGATCATACATATAGGTTATGTTTCTTCATTTGTTGCATTGTGTGGTGATTTCCATCGATCCACGTCGCCAGGCATAATGGGACCCATGTCGTCCAAGAAGTTATACTTTTGACTCATCTGTCCATAGAACATTCTTCCAAGAGTCTTGATGATCATCCAGGTACTTTTTGGCATTTTGATTATATTTGTATTTCGTATTTTATTTTTACCTTTATTTAACCAGGTAAGCCTGTTGAGAACAAGTTCTAATTTACAACAGCGACCTGGCCAAGATAAAGCAAAGCAGTGCGATTTAAAAACAACAACACAGTTACATATGGGGTAAACAAAACAAAGTCAAAAATACAACAGAAAATATATATACAGTGTGTGTGAATGTAGTAAATTATGGAGGTAAGGCAATAAATAGTCCATAGTGCAAAATAGTTACAATTTCGTATTAACACTGGAATGATAGATCTGCAAAAGATGATGTGCAAATAGAGATACTGGGGTGCAAATTAGCTAAATAAATAACAATATGGGGATGAGGTAGTTGGATGGGCTAATTACAGATGGGCTGTGTACAGGTGCAGTGATCGGTAAGCTGCTCTGACAACTGACGCCTAAAGTTACTGAGGGCGATAAGAGTCTCCAGCTTCAGAGATTTTTGCAGTTCGTTCCAGTCATTGGCAGCAGAGAACTGGAAGGAATGGCGGCCAAAGGAGGTGTTGGCTTTGGGGATAACCAGTGAGATATACCTGCTGGAGCGCAGACTATGGGTGGGTGTTGCTATGGTGACCAGTGAGGTAAGATAAGACTGGGATTTGCCTAGCAGTGATTTATAGATGACCTGGAGCCAGTGGGTTTGGCGACGAATATGTAATGAGGGCCAGCCAACAAGAGCGTACAGGTCACAATGGTGGGTAGTATATGGGGCTTTGGTGACACAACGGATGGCACTGTGATAGACTACATCCAATTTGCTGAGTAGAGTGTTGGAGGCTATTTTGTAACTGACATCGCCAAAGTCAAGGATCGGTGGGATAGTCAGTTTTACGAGGGCATGTTTGGCAGCATGAGTGAAGGAGGCTTTGTTGTGAAATAGGAAGCCGATTCTAGATCTAACTTTTGATTGGAGATGCTTAATGTGAGTCTGGAAGGATAATTTACAGTCTAACCAGACACCTAGGTATTTGTAGTTGTCCACATACTCTAGGTCAGACCCCCCGAGAGTAGTGGTTCTAGTCGGGTGGGCGGGTGCAAGCAGCGTTCGGTTGAAGAGCATGCATTTCGTTTTACTAATGTTTAAGAGCAGTTGGAGGCTACGGAAGGAGTGTTGTATGGCGTTGAAGCTCGTTTGGAGATTTGTTAACACAGTGTCCAATGAAGGGCCAGATGTATACAAAATGGTGTTGTCCGCATAGAGGTGGATCCGAGCGTCACCAGCAGCAAGAGCAACATCATTGATATACACAGAGAATAGAGTCGGCCCGAGAATTGAACCCTGTGGCACCCTGCGCAGTACTGTCTTTTATCGATCGCGGTTATAATATCGTTTAGGACCTTGAGCGTGGCTGAGGTGCACCCATGACCAGCTCGGAAACCAGATTGCATAGCGGAGAAGGTACGGTGGGATTCGAAATGGTTGATGATCTGTTTGTTAACTTGGCTTTCAAAAACTTTCGAAAGGCAGGGCAGAATGGATATAGGTCTGTAACAGTTTGGATCTAAAGTGTCACTGTCACGAGAATTTCTCTCTCTCTCTAATTAAACCTAAGCTTGAATCATTACCAGCGGTTGTAAGGCTCTAGTTTTAATCATGAATAATTCAAGGTCCACAACCAGCAAGAATGATCTGTATGTTTAATCATGGAAAGCTCTCCCGCCAAAACACATAACCAGCCTTTTATATATGCTTCACACAAAGGAACTTTGCTCCGCCCACCTTTTAGGCGGCCTTTAACCAGTTTCTCAGTCCCCTTCATCCTGGAATGTTTGTCTCAGCAGTTTCTAACTCACCCCCTCTGTTAGTGGGTTTATAATGATAACCCTAACACAGTTCACACAGTCATCATCAGTATTGGGGTTAACAATTTTGGTCACAATCATAATTCCTCTATCAGTCACCCCCTTTGAAGAGGGGGATGACCGCGGCAGCTTTCCAATCTCTGGGGATCTCAGACGTTACGATAGAGAGATTGAACAGGCTAGTAATAGGGGTTGCGACAATTTCGGCGGCTAATTTTAGAAAGAAAGGGTCCAGATTGTCTAGCCCAGCTGATTTGTAGGGGTCCAGATTTTTCAGCTCTTTCAGAACATCAGCTGTCTGAATTTGTGTAAAGGAGAAGCTGGGGGGGGGGGCATGGGTAAATTGCAGCTGAGGTGCAGAGCTGGTGGCCGGGGTAGTGGTAGCCAGGTGGAAAGCATGGCCAGCCGTAGCAAAATGCTTGTTGAAATTCTCGATTATTGTAGATTTATCGGTGGTGACAGTGTTTCCAAGCCTCAGTGCAGTGGGCAGTTGGAAGGAGGTGCTCTTATTCTTCATGTACTTTACAGTGTCCCAAAACTTTTTGGAGTTAGTGCTACAGGATGCACATTTCTGTTTGAAAAAGCTAGCCTTTGCTTTCCTAACTGATTGTGTATATTGGTTCCTGACTTCCCTGAAAAGTTGCATATCGCGGGGGCTGTTAGATGCTAATGCAGTACGCCACAGGATGTTTTTGTGCTGGTCAAGGGCAGTCAAGTCTGAGGAGAACCAGGGGCTATATCTGTTCTAGTTCTGAATTCTTTGAATGGGGCATGCTTATTTCAGATGGAGAGGAACGCACTTTTAAAGAACAACCAGGCATCCTCTACTGACAGAATGAGGTCAATATCCATCCAGGATACCCGGGCCAGGTCAATTAGAAAGGCCTGCTTGCTAAAGTGTTTTTTAGGGAGCGTTTGACAGTGATGAGGAGTGGTCGTTTGACCGCGGACCCATTACGGACGCAGACAATAAAGCAGTGATCGCTGAGATCCTGGTTGAAGACAGCGGAGGTGTATTTAGAGGGTAAATTTGTCAGGATGATATCTATGAGGGTGCCCATGTTTACAGATTTTGGGTTGTACCTGGTAGGTTCGTTGATAATATGTGTGAGATTGAGGGCATCTAGTTTAGATTGTAGGTTGGCCGGGGTGTTAAGCATATCCCAGTTTAGGTCACCAAGCAGTATAAACTCTGAGGATAGATGGGGGGAAATCAGTTCACATATGGTGTCCAGGGCACAGCTCGGGGCTGAGGGGGGTCTGTAGCAAGCGGCAACAGTGAGAGACTTATTTCTGGAAAGGTGGATTTTTAGAAGTAGAAGCTCAAACTGTTTGGGCACAGACCTGGATAGTATGATAGAGCTCTGCAGGCTATCTCTACAGTAGATTGCAACCCCACCCCCTTTGGCAGTTCTATCGAGACTGAAAATGTTGTAGTTGGGGATGGACATTTCTGAATTTTTGTTGGCCTTCCTGTCCATATCTCAAACTTAGGGAGGAGGCTTCGGATGTTAACGTGCAAGAAACCAAGGCTTTTACGGTTACAGAAGTCAAAAAATGATAACGCCTGGGGAGTAGGAGTGATACTGGGGGCTACAGGGCCTGGGTTAACCTCTACATCACCAGAGGAACAGAGGAGGAATGGAATAAGGATACGGCTAAAGGCTTTAAGAACTGGTCTTCTAGTGCGTTGGGTACAGAGAAAAAAAGGGGTAGATTTCCGGGCGTTGTAGAATAGATTCAGGGCATTATGTACAGGCAAGGATATGGAAGGATATGAGTACAGTGGAGGTAAACCTAAGCGTTGGGTAACGATGAAAGAGATAGCATCACTGGAGGCACCGATTGAGTCGGTCTCTGCGTGTATGGGGGGTGGGACAAAGGAGCTGTCTAAGGCAGGTTGAGCTGGGCTGGGGGCTCTACAGTGAAATAGTACAATAAGAAATAACCGAAACAGCAATAAGCAAGGCATATTGACATGGGAGAGAGGCATAAAGCAATCACAGGTGTTATTCGAGAGAGCTAAGACAACAGCTGGTAATGGCGACAAAGTTTGGGCTGAGGCTAAACATAAACAGGATGCGGTACCGTATAAAAGAACAGTCCAGCAGGCATCGGCTGTATAGCTGAGTTATCATAAGGTCCGGTGAACAGCAATAGGAGAGTTCGGAGGTAGTTCGGGGGCTACTACCGCACTGGCGAGCAAGAGGCCCGGCTTGCGTGTGCTAGCGGGCTGGGGCTAGCAGATGGATCTTCGTGGTCAACGTCGTAACGGGAAGCCTGTTGAAACCACATCAGACGATTTCGTCGGCAAACCAGTCGTATTGGATCGGCGGGGCTCCGTGTCAACACTATGAGGTCCCGTCCGGTTGACAGAGAGGTAGATAGCCGGGAGATGGGCCTGGCTCGAGGCTAGCTCAAGGCTAACTGGTACTTGCTAAGGGGCAATGGTAATTAGCCAACGACAACAGCCATTTGGTTGCAGCTAGCTGGTTGCGATGATCCGGCGCTAGGGTCCAGTGATTCCGGCAGAAAATCCGATATGCTCTGGGTCGATAGCACGCTGTGCAGACTGGCCGACAAATTGTCCAGGCTAGAGCTAGAGCTGGCTGGTGGGTAGTGCAGGCCACGAACAATGGTGAAGACGCTAACGGTGGCTAATAGCAAGTAGCCATTCGGTTGCAGCTAGGCTAGTTTCAGCTTAAGGTTCTTGATAAAAGTTATAAAGAAACAATAGAAGCCTTTCCACGTTGGGTGAGGCGGGTTGCAGGAAAGTATATTTTAGTTAAAGAATGAAAAAGTAAAATTTAGAAATGTATACAAATTGACAATAAACAAAAAAACTGTCTATTTACACAAGGACACATAAAAAAACACGACCGCACTGCTACGCCATCTTGGATAGTTTAACACTTGTTTGGTTACTACATGATTCCATATGTGTTATTTCATAGTTTTTATGGCTTCACTATTATTTCCCCCCTCTGATAACCAGGTGGCGAATCGCATCTCCAGGTGGCGAATCGCATCTCTGCATGTCTGGCAGACATATCAGTATGGATGACGGATCACCACCTCAAGCTGAACCTTGGCAAGACGGAGCTGCTCTTCCTCCCGGGGAAGGACTGCCCGTTCCATGATCTCGCCATCACGGTTGACAACTCCGTTGTGTCCTCCTCCCAGAGTGCGAAGAGCCTTGGCGTGACCCTGGACAACACCCTGTCGTTCTCCGCTAACATCAAGGCGGTGACCCGATCCTGTAGGTTCATACTCTACAACATTCGGAGAGTACGACCCTGCCTTACACAGGAAGCGGCACAGGTCCTAATCCAGGCACTTGTCATCTCCCGTCTGGATTACTGCAACTCGCTGTTGGCTGGGCTCCCTGCCTGTGCCATTAAACCCCTACAACTCATCCAGAATGCCGCAGCCCGTCTGGTGTTCAACCTTCCCAAGTTCTCTCACGTCACCCCGCTCCTCCGCACACTCCACTGGCTTCCAGTTGAAGCTCGCATCTGTTACAAGACCATGGTGCTTGCCTATGGAGCTGTGAGGGGAACGGCACCTCCTTACCTTCAGGCTCTGATCAGTCCCTACACCCAAACGAGGGCATTGCGTTCATCCACCTCTGGCCTGCTGGCTCCCCTTCCTCTGCGGAAGCATAGTTCCCACTCAGCCCAGTCAAAACTGTTCGCTGCTCTGGCACCCCAATGGTGGAACAAGCTCCCTCACGACGCCAGGACAGCGGAGTCACTCACCACCTTCCGGAGACATTTGAAACCCCACCTCTTATTAGGATAAAGAATTAGGATAAAGTAATCCTTCTACCCCCCACCCCCCCCCCCCCCACTGGCTATAAGGTGAATGCACCAATTTGTAAGTCGCTCTGGATAAGAGCGTCTGCTAAATGACGTAAATGTAATGTAAATGAAAAACCCTCATGAATGCACCAATTTCTAAGTCGCTCTGGATAAGAGCGTCTGCTAAATGACGTAAATGTAATGAGTAGGTGTGTCCAAACTTTTGGCTGGTACTGTATATTTGAGACTTGTTTTTATTGAGTTTTTACCTGAAATTGCAGTAACAGCCTGTTACGTTCTGGAACTGTCGTAGTAGCTGCCGGCTGCACTGAGACACATGACTATTGAAGGCCATCCCCACAACCAACATTATTTTTAAATGTAGATCATAAAAATAGGATATGTCTTTTCATTTGTATCATTGTGATTTCAGAGGTGGCACCACAGGTCCCTGAGTGGTGGGGGGAGAACTGTTTTCAAGTTTTTCCTGATCTAGTAGTAGACTAACCTCTGGACCCTAGCTGTAGCATATGACATAGTAATAAATCAGCTGTAAAAAAAAAACTGTTATGATGGGACCAGATTCTTCTTTTAATGAGGTCATATGGTTTAAAAAAAATAAAAAAATATCCTGGCCCTAGGGAAGATGAAAACATTAAAAATCTTTACACAGCTAAAAGAGAAAACAACTTAGATTGGACAATACAACTAACAGGGCTGAGCTAGCTGTATGCAGTGTTCTCTAGGCTACCTGCAGCGGTGGTTGTTATCAGCAGGCTTCTCTGTACAGACCCATATTTATGTTTATTTATTTTCCCTTTTGTACTCGTTACAACACTGTACATAGACATAATGACATTTGAAATGTATCTTCCTTTGAAACCATTGAGTGTAATGTTTACTGTTAATTTCTGATTGTTTATGATCTATTTCACTTGCTTTGGCAATGTAACCAAATATTTCCCATGCCAATAAAGCCCTTTGGGAGAGAGAGATGCATTTTTTTAAATTGATGAAGATAAATGACAGAAAACACTACCCCACTCCGCTTTCACCACTGTTGATTCTCTCCAAATGCTCTGTGTGACCACCCGCCAATGTGGCTGGTAAGAACATTCCACCAACCATTGCCAAAATGTACCAGCATTTGTGGCTGGTGTTAATTACCCACCCTGCTTGTAAGGTTGGATGTTGTGGTTCTGGAGGAGAGATACACCTTTAGCATACGCGACTGACCAGGGCCGGGTTTCCCAAATTCATTTTAAGGCTAAATTAATTGTTAGAACCTTCGTAGGAGCATCGTTAAATCTCCATGCTGTTTCCCAAAACCATCGTTATTAATGTTGCTCTTGAAAACGCTCGTAATCGAACGCCTGCCTCAAACCACTAGCACAGCTAAGTGCGTCATTAGATGCTTTCTTTGCCCTCCCGCATCACTTTATACACCGATGTCCTCTAAACATAGAATCACATGGTTGATCCCTCTCTCTGTGACCTCTGATAACTTCAGAATAAAGTTGACTACAAATACAAAGTTGCCCATTTCTTTGCAATTGACAAACAAGCGACGTAGGCTATAAAAATATGCTTCAAATGAAAACTGACTGCATTAAAATATGAACGGTATAGGTCTATGTCAATCATATTGAAATACATTTCATATTCAATCAATGGAGTTATATTTTGCTACTTGTAGGCTGTCTGTAATTTGTCTCAATATATTTAATGATGTGTAACCTAACGTGCAAAATAATAATATGCCATTTAGCAGACGCTTGTATCCAAGGCGACTTAGTCATGCGTGCATACATTTTTTTTTTGTGTGTATGGGTGGTCCCGGGGATCGAACCCACTACCCTGGCGTTACAAGCGCCGTGCTCTACCAGCTGAGCTACAAGAGGCCTTTTATCTTTTATTAAATGTTGTGTGTTTACAAGCATGTTGTCTCTGGTACCAGACAGTTCTAACAGCTCACTATACCTTCAGATAGACCAAGTATTGCTAATGTTTTAGTCTTATGGAGTTATACATAGACCAATTTTGTCCAATAACAGACTGGTGCCCCGATCTCATAACTTGAAGAAATAACTTGACCCTCCCTTATACACCATGTGTCTAACTGTTATGTTACCCTCTTCTCTGTTTATTACTATCTACGTCTCTTCTCTCTCAGTTCTGACCCAAGTTGACTGGACAGAGGGTTGAGGGAATCTCCTAGCAGAAAGCATCATGGGAGGAGCCGTGGTAGACGATGAGCCTAGTGATGTGAAGGCGCCAGACGGAGGGTGGGGCTGGGCCGTGCTGGCCGGAGGGTTCGTCATCACTGGGTTCTCCTACGCCTTCCCCAAGGCTGTCAGTGTGTTCTTCAAGGAGTTGATCAGGGAGTTCGGAGTGGGATACAGCGACTGTGCATGGATTTCTTCTATACTGTTGGCCATGCTCTACGGCACAGGTACGGACACGGACACACACACACACACTGACTGGTATTGTGTATATCTCCAGTCTACAAGAGGCCCAGTAGAGAAGGTGTCAGGCCTGGGCGTTAGTACCTCCAGAGTCTACACCAAACTCTGACAGGATCTTTATGTCATTATTTTAACAGGTATTTGTATTTATTAAGGATCCCCATTACTTCCTGCCAAGGCAGCAGCTACTCTTCCTGGGGTTTATTATGGATCCCCATTAGTTCCTGCCAAAGCAGCAGCTACTCTTCCTGGGGTTTATTATGGATCCCCATTACTTACATTTAACATTTTAGTCATTTAGCAGACGCTCTTATCCAGAGCGACTTACAGTTAGTGAGTGCATACATTTTTTTCATACTGCCAAGGCAGCAGCTACTCTTCCTGGGATCCAAACAAGATTAAGGCAATTACATCACAAAACATTTAAATTAAACAGTACATCATACAACACATTATTACACCACTACTCTACCACTGAAAATCTACAATACAAAATGTATAATACAACAATATTAAAACATTACTATGTACGTGTGTTAGGTTAGTCACATTGAAATGAAACGCCTTGTTTCCAAGAGAGACATGGCCAAAATAGCAGCACACAAAGTTTCAGAGACATTTACAACCTAAAACACAAAGCACTAAGCACACATTTTCCACATTGAGCAGGATAGATTCTTTGGGGAGGTTTGGTGCATCTGGTGTCAAAACATTGACAGCCCCCCACTTCATTTTCCACCATAGATTTTAGATTTAAACTAATTCAAAGAGACAAGCTCCTGTCATTTCATGTCCTGTTGTAGCTCAATCCAAGTGGAAAGGGCAGAGAACTGGAACACTTTTTTTTATCCAGCTCAGTACTGGTCTTAGGCACAATAAGTTCTGAGAGTGTCTGTCTGCCTGCAGGTCCACTGTGCAGTGTGCTGGTGAACAAGTTTGGGTGTCGGCCAGTGATGATGGTGGGAGGGCTCTTTGCCTCCTTAGGAATGATCCTGGCCTCCTTTGCAACCAGTATCATACATATCTACCTCTGTACTGGAGTTATAACAGGTTAGTAAACACAGACATTTATCTCTGTACTGGAGTTATAACAGGTTAGTAAACACAGACATTTATCTCTGTACTGGAGTTATAACAGGTTAGTAAACACACACACACAATTGAACTGTTTCTCTGTCTACCAGGTCTGGGCCTGGCGCTGAACTTCCAGCCATCTCTGATCATGCTGAATCGTTACTTCAGTGAGAAGAGGCCTCTAGCTAACGGACTATCTGCTGCCGGAAGCCCTGTGGCCCTCTGCTGCCTCTCTCCTCTGGGACAGGTACTACACCTCTCCTCTTCAGTCTCCCTCTCTGCAGTTGTAGATCAGTATTATGATGTAGGGATATATATATATATATATATATATATATACACACACACAGTGGGGGGAAAAAGTATTTAGTCAGCCACCAATTGTGCATGTTCTCCCACTTAAAAAGATGAGAGAGGCCTGTAATTTTCATCATAGGTACACGTCAACTATGACAGACAAACTGAGAAAAAAAATCCAGAAAATCACATTGTAGGATTTTTAATGAATTTATTTGCAAATTATGGTGGAAAATAAGTATTTGGTCACCTACAAACAAGCAAGATTTCTGGCTCTCACAGACCTGTAACTTCTTCTTTAAGATGCTCCTCTGTCCTCCACTCGTTACCTGTATTAATGGCACCTGTTTGAACTTGTTATCAGTATAAAAGACACCTGTCCACAACCTCAAACAGTCACACTCCAAACTCCACTATGGCCAAGACCAAAGAGCTGTCAAAGGACACCAGAAACAACATTGTAGACCTGCACCAGGCTGGGAAGACTGAATCTGCAATAGGTAAGCAGCTTGGTTTGAAGAAATCAACTGTGGGAGCAATTATTAGGAAATGGAAGACATACAAGACCACTGATAATCTCCCTCAATCTGGGGCTCCACGCAAGATCTCACACCGTGGGGTCAAAATGATCACAAGAACGGTGAGCAAAAATCCCAGAACCACACGGGGGGACCTAGTGAATGACCTGCAGAGAGCTGGGACCAAAGTAACAAAGCCTACCATCAGTAACACACTACGCCGCCAGGGACTCAAATCCTGCAGTGCCAGACGTGTCCCCCTGCTTAAGCCAGTACATGTCCAGGCCCGTCTGAAGTTTGCTAGAGTGCATTTGGATGATCCAGAAGAGGATTGGGAGAATGTCATATGGTCAGATGAAACCAAAATATAACTTTTTGGTAAAAACTCAACTCGTCGTGTTTGGAGGACAAAGAATGCTGAGTTGCATCCAAAGAACACCATACCTACTGTGAAGCATGGGGGTGGAAACATCATGCTTTGGGGCTGTTTTTCTGCAAAGGGACCAGGACGACTGATCCGTGTAAAGGAAAGAATGAATGGGGCCATGTATCGTGAGATTTTGAGTGAAAACCTCCTTCCATCAGCAAGGGCATTGAAGATGAAACGTGGCTGGGTCTTTCAGCATGACAATGATCCCAAACACACCGCCCGGGCAACGAAGGAGTGGCTTCGTAAGAAGCATTTCAAGGTCCTGGAGTGGCCTAGCCAGTCTCCAGATCTCAACCCCATAGAAAATCTTTGGAGGGAGTTGAAAGTCCGTGTTGCCCAGCGACAGCCCCAAAACATCACTGCTCTAGAGGAGATCTGCATGGAGGAATGGGCCAAAATAACAGCAACAGTGTGTGAAAACCTTGTGAAGACTTACAGAAAACGTTTGACCTGTGTCATTGCCAACAAAGGGTATATAACAAAGTATTGAGAAACTTTAGTTATTGACCAAATACTTATTTTCCACCATAATTTGCAAATAAATTCATAAAAAATCCTACAATGTGATTTTCTGGATTTTTTTCCCTCATTTTGTCTGTCATAGTTGACGTGTACCTATGATGAAAATTACAGGCCTCTCATCTTTTTAAGTGGGAGAACTTGCACAATTGGTGGCTGACTAAGTACTTTTTTCCCCCCACTGTATATATGTATATATATATACATACACATACAGTGAGGGAAAAAAGTATTTGATCCCCTGCTGATTTTGTACGTTTGCCCACTGACAAAGAAATGATCAGTCTATAATTTTAATGGTAGGTTTATTTGAACAGTGAGAGACAGAATAACAACATTGAAAATGGGTCATGGATGGGTATTCCAGCATGACAATGACCCAAAACACATGGCCAAGGCAACAAAGGAGTGGCTCAAGAAGAAGCACATTAAGGTCCTGGAGTGGCCTAGCCAGTCTCCAGACCTTAATCCCATAAAAAAATCTGTGGAGGGAGTTGAAAGTCCGTGTTACCCAGCGACAGCCCCAAAACATCACTGCTCTAGAGGAGATCTGCATGGAGGAATGGGCCAAAATAACAGCAACAGTGTGTGAAAACCTTGTGAAGACTTACAGAAAACATTTGACCTGTGTCATTGCCAACAAAGGGTATATAACAAAGTATTGAGAAACTTTTGTTATTGACCAAATACTTATTTTCCACCATAATATGCAAATAAATTCATTAAAAATCCTACAATGTGATTTTCTGGATTTTTTTGTACCTATGATGAAAATTACAGGCCTCATCTTTTTAAGTGGGAGAACTTGCACAATTGGTGGCTGACTAAATACATTTTTTCCCCACTGTGTGTGTGTGTGTGTGTGTGTGTGTGTGTGTGTGTGTGTGTGTATGTGTATATATATATATATATATATATATATAAACACAATGAAAGATACAAAGGGGAAATTATATGCTTTCTTGGAGTTACGGATCATCGATATTGTTAATGTTTTTCTTCATATTTCACCCCCAAAGGTGTTGCAGTACCACTACGGTTGGAGAGGCGGCTTCCTCATCCTGGGGGGTCTGCTGCTCAACTGCTGCGCATGTGGGGCCCTGATGAGACCCCTGGTGGGCCCCAAGAAGCCCCAGGACCAGGAGTTGCAGGCTGTAGACCAAGCAGAAAAAAAGGCCAAACCTCAGAAGAAGCTCCTGGACTTTAGCGTATTTAAAGACAGAGGTTTCCTCATCTATGCCATAGCTGCGTCCATCATGGTACTGGGTCTGTTTGTGCCACCCGTGTTTGTGGTGAGCTATGCCAAGGAGATGGGGAATGAAGACACCAAGTCTGCCCTACTCCTCACCATCCTGGGGTTCGTTGATATCTTCGCCCGGCCCACATGTGGGCTGATCGCGGGGATGAAGTGGGTCCGGCCCAGATGTGTATATCTGTTCAGCTTTGCCATACTCTTTAATGGCATCACTGACGTGGTCAGCTCACAGGTAAGGCTGGAACTAGTTTTGATTGATATTATTTGTATGGATGGATGTAAACAATACATAAATCATATTTAATCAATGTGTATTGTATCATTATTGGTATTCCTGTATTGACCCATATCATTGCGGACACTGGGGCCCTCGAGATCCGAAGCTATTTGATCCATATAATTAGAAAGATTAATCAGTAATGGTAATTATATTTCTATGGTCGTATCACATTGTTGCTTCTCTTTTGGCAGGCGACAGACTACCCTGGCCTGGTGGTGTTCTGTATCTTCTTCGGGCTCTCTTACGGGATGGTGGGGGCGCTGCAGTTCGAGGTTCTCATGGCCATCGTGGGCACCAAGAAGTTCTCCAGCGCTTTAGGATTGGTGCTGCTCATGGAGGCGATCGCTGTGCTGGTGGGACCGCCTGGAGCAGGTCAGTAACCACAGGGAAGCGTTAGGATAGAGTTAGAATTAGGGTTATGGCTTGTGTTAGGGTTCAACCAGGGTGTGGACATGAAGCTATGGTTAGGGCTAGGGTTGAGCCTGGGTGTGGACATGGGGTTAGGGTTGAGCCTGGGTGTGGACATGGAGATATGGTTAGGCTTGAGCCTGGTTGTGGACATGGGGTTAGGTTTGAGCCTGGGTGTGGACATGGAGTTAGGGTTGAGCCTGGGTGTGGACATGGAGTTAGGGTTGAGCCTGGGTGTGGACATGGAGTTAGGGTTGAGCCTGGGTGTGGACATGGAGTTAGGGTTGAGCCTGGTTGTGGACATGGAGTTAGGGTTGAGCCTGGGTGTGGACATGGAGTTAGGGTTGAGCCTGGTTGTGGACATGGAGTTAGGGTTGAGCCTGGGTGTGGACATGGAGTTAGGCTTGAGCCTGGTTGTGGACATGGAGTTAGGCTTGAGCCTGGTTGTGGACATGGAGTTAGTGTTGAGCCTGGGTGTGGACATGGAGTTAGGGTTGAGCCTGTGTTAGGGGTTTAGAACGAAGTCTTCAAACAATCAGAAGCCAGAAATGACATCATAACATTTTAGCTAGTAATAACCAGCTTATGCCTTGAATGGATAGGAGGTAATGAACTCTCTTCATACCTGTATAACCTCCTTCTCCCTCTCCTCTCCGTAGGTCGTCTGCTAGACACCACCCATAACTACATGCATGTGTTCCTGCTGGCTGGCTGTGAGGTCATTCTGGCCTCCATCGTCATCTGCATGGGCAACTTTCTGTGCATCAAGAAGAAGCCAGACAAGCCCGAAGCCCATCTAGAGAATGGAGCCCCCGCAGAGATGGAGAATCTCAACAGCCTGCCAGAGGGAGGGGAGACGGAGAGAGAGCAGCCGGACGGGGTGAGGGCCGGGTCGGGAAAGGCGATAGAGGGAGCTGAGAAGAGTGGAGGGGTGGGGAACCCAGAGACATCTCTGTGATAGAGGGGAGAGACTGATTAGCTCTATGAAGCACCAATAGGGAAGACACATTCTGACGGAGGGAGGGAGGGATGGAGCGAGAGAGGGATGGATTGTGATGTGCTCTGTGTGTTTGGTGTTGTGTTGTATGCTTTAATATACACAGCACAGCGTTATGTAGTGTTGATTTTTCAGTGTAACATTTCTAGTGTTGATTCAGGAGTTAAATTAACTCTGTAGGTGTTAAATGAACACTGAGTGGTGTAATAGAGCCCCAGTGTTGGTGTTAATAACCAGTATTAAACAAAAACCATTCCCATCATATTTCCCAGCATGCTCAATTGCATGTAGATTTTTACAATGTTTTTGCATGTACATTGCTTGATTAATTAATCTTGTTAGACTCAAATATAAATAACATACATTTTTCTAAACTAATCCAATATATTACTTGGACTTATTGCACCCGTTACTGAAATGGTTGTTCCAGTTTAGATACTTTATGTAGGCTCCTACAATATCTTAGTCTTCCCAATCCTGGCAATCATTCTGAATAAACATAAAACATTCCAAATGTTGGATATTTCCACTCTGGCTGGATTCCAATAGGAATTACACATCACTTTGCAAACCAGCATAATGTGACTTGCAGGCCAAACCATGAGTTTCAGACCACTGTATTAGGGTACATCTAGACCCTCAAAATAAGGCCTTATGAAATATGTATTGCCATAAAGAATTCCATTTTAATGATAACATTTGCTTAGGATCTCACTTGGTGAAGGCCACAAGACTGAAAATGAACAGATGCAACAACCATGTCTATGTCACTAACAATTACAGGCATGGGTGGTAACTACAATTTACTTGAAAGGCAACCTGGGAAATATGCACTAAGCAGTTTGTTAATTTAACACTGGAAAGTGTGGTCCCATATAGACACTAAGAGTGTTACATTTAACACTGTGTTGATTTAACACTGGATAATTTGCTGTGTGCATACCAGCACGCACACCAGAAGGAACACTATTAAATGTTTTCTGGAATCGCTCACTATTAAATGTTTTCTGGAATCGCTCTGCCCACAGTACACACACACTGCTCTGCCCACAGTACACACACACACACACTTGCAGGCACCCAAGAGCATGCACACACACAACCTTGAACTAACCAATGCTTGTCACTGCCTGACTCACCAGTTCTTGATACAGAAAAGAATAACGAACAACTTCATTTCCAGGACATTTCCACAGTGACGGTATTTGTTTATGGAGACACTCCCCAGTGAGGAGAGATTTAAAGAAACAAAGGAATTCTTCTTTACTCCTCCTGAGTGACCTTGGCTTCCAGTGACGTGAGATCTTGAAGTGACTTCTTTCCAAAGACAAGAAACCTCTGTACAATAATATATTTTTAAAAAAGACATCAAGAGCTGGTTTCCCAAACCCAGATTCAGCTTAGTCCTGGACTGAGAAGCATGATCAATGGAAATTCTTAATTGAAAGTGTTATTTTTAGTTCAGGACTAGGTGTGATCTGTGTCTGAGAAAGTAGCCACAAAATTATTATTTCAACTACCAATGTTGTGGCAGGTTGCAGGCATGTATGAGTGATGGTGTGACATACTATTTTATTAAAGGTCCAATGCAACTGTTTTTATCTAAATATCAAATAATTTCTGGGAAACAATTAAGTACCTTACAGTGATTGTTTTCAATTAAATGGTCAACCCCCCCATCAAAAAAAATACATATAATAGCTTTCTTAGCAAAGAGCAATTTCTCAAGCAAGAATATTGATAGGACTGTCTGAGTGGGGAAGGGAAAATTGAAAACTAGCAGTTATTGGCAAAGAGGTTTGGAACTGTTTCTTATTGGTCTATTGACTAATTTACTGCCTGGTGGCCAAAACTCCATCCCACCAAAACAGGCTACAATTTCACGCAGTCTTTTCAAACCGCTCTTTCACTATAAGGGCTTTATCATTTTCACAATTTCCAGTATTAATCCAACCTCTTTGTGGAAATATATAAAAACACAGGGAAATCACATTTTTGACTGCACTGGGGCTTTATTGTATAATGTTACCAAGTTGTTATACAGGTTATAGTAAGTTCTAGGTGCTTGGTGAAATGTTATGAGAACATCTCTCTGTGATGAAATCAATATCACTAGTTTCTTTCAATGAAAAATACCTCTTCAGCCAGTAACCTAACACACACACACACACACACACACAGTTTCCGATATAAATATATATTTACTCCATGAACTGAATAAGTTTCTTAAGCCTTATCATTTTATTACGTGTATTTCACTGTTTGTCTTCCAATGTAAGGACTTTGTCACAGCTGATATGTTTGTCACTTTGAACTGGACAGTTTTTCTAATACTGAGGGCATTAACATGTCACGTGGCCGCTGGAATGCTGTGCTTTTTTCAGTGTTTTTGGTCTGACTGCTGATGTCCATTTAAAGGATAGTTCAAGCATTTGTCTATGTTGTTTATGCTGACAGGTGGAGTAAGAATGCTGGCAGTCTACAAATGGGAGTCTACAAAGATCCTGTTGTGTAGTGTTGGTGTATCTCCTAACTTAACCAAACCCTACACAACTGTCAGTATCTCTTTAGATCTGAAAAGGGGGACACCTTAACATGTGACAGGATATGACATTATAGCCCAGCCCGCTGATGTAATGTATGTAATATGGAGGAAGACCTATTTTATACAGTGCCTTAAATCTGATACATTGGCATCTGGGGACGCTGTGACCCAATAGAATATAGTGCTATTTTTATATTTTCCTCCACTGATGCAGTCTCAATTACAATGCCTGTGATGTCACCTGATGATAAGTTATCCCAGCCAAACACAGTGAAGCATTTTGCTCTGCTCTACGAAGGTTGGCTTTGCACTTGTAAAACTGTGCGTAGTCAGTATTGTCCTGTATGTTTCTGCATGTTGGTATATTGTATATATTTGTGGATATTGTTCTGCCTATCTTGTCAGTCTGTCAGATCTTTGTATTTATTAATGATAGATCTGCAGACACTTACAAAACCACAAATACACAACCATGTCCACGAGCACCCTCTGCTGGGTATTTGTTGAACGTCAAACTTTCATGTGGATTTATTCAATTCCTATTTTTCTGAGATACTGCTGCTTCTTGACCTGTTGCTATGCCAACCCAATAAATATATATTATGTGGAGAAAGTGTTTGAATGGTTCTTTAAAAGTTTGATAGTGAGCATGATGACACTCTTCAGATGCTCCCCAGGTCAGGTCACAGTCCATCTTCTTGGTAAGGGTTCCCCAGGTCGGGTCACAGTCCTTCATGTTCTTGGTGAGGGTTCCCCAGGTCGGGTCACAGTCCTTCATCTTCTTGGTGAGGGTTCCCCAGGTCGGGTCACAGTCCATCTTCTTGGTGAGGGTTCCCCAGGTCGGGTCACAGTCCATCTTGTGGTCCTCTGTAGCTCAATTGGTAGAGCATGGTGCTTGTAACGCCAGGATAGTGGGTTCGATCCCCGGGACTACCCATACGTAAAAATTTATGCACACATGACTGTAAGTCGCTTTGGATAAATGGCATATTATTATCTTCTTGGTGAGGGTTCCCCAGGTCGGGTCACAGTCCTTCTCCAGGTCTCTTTTGGTTGTCTTTCTCTTTCCATCAGGTGTCCTACACTGGGACTGCGTAGTAGTGTGCACGTCTGGTTATAGTCTGCACACAGGTGATAAGACATTAAAACATATCTAAATTCATTTGACTACACTTTTCAAAAAAAAAAAAATAACGTTTGAAAATGAAAGCACACAGAGTAGTACACAAAGTACTTCATTTATTTACAGTTTTTAAAGTACACAAATACAAATGGAGATAAAGGAATATTCTTATAGCTGGTAGCTTAGTTAATTACACATAGGAGGGTGAGTCAGTGATTGACCAAACTGGCCATGGGTCACACCAGAAATGACTAGTCAATAATGAGGTCAGCATTAAAACAGTCCTATAGGGCTGAACCATGGCAATGGCAGCTGTGCCCGCCCCTTAAGTCTCATCTTGCTGATTGAGGACCATTTCAGTGGTTGAATTGAATATCCCAAACTCTTGCGCCATACTCTTTGCCGAGGACCAGTAAAGACTGGGCGTGTTACTCTGCCCAGGCGTTGCCAATGCATGGAGAACAGGTATTTTCCGTATCAGCTAACCACATGTTATAGCAATCTGGTGCCTGACGGCACATTCGATGATGTGGCACGCAATCGCTGGTCGATGCACGCAACGTCTGAGCAGGGGAACGCCCAAGACCATAGCCCATCCAAGAGAAAAAAAAAGTGTCCATCGGTACATTTATCATGGGATAGCTGAAGTTATCACAGATGTTTAGTCAAGTGCCTCTGCTTGTAACCACATCAGACCATTTTACTTCTCAAAACATGTACAAATAATAACACCTCACATGGAGCCAGTAAAACATTTAACTTCCGTTCACACTCAAAACAAATAATAGTTTAAAATGGCAGCCATTTAACACACTTAAGTCTCTCTGTGCGAGTGCTCATTTTTGGTGTATTTGAGGAACTTCAACTAAAACGATGGACAGACACGGCGAAAGCCTTGGCACGGACAATGATTATGCCCAAAACTGGACCGAACCAGATCGATTATAGGACAATGTCTCACTGTAGAGCCATCCCAAGTGAGACCCAGTGTATGAAACCCAAATTCACCACAATAATAAGGAAACCAAAAAGGGAAAAAGCTTAAACATTTCCACATCTTCATTAAAATATAATTTCACAGCTTAGAAACAATACAAATAACAGAATGAGAATGTAGATCTTTACAGTAGACCGTGAGGCAGTCTGACTCGGTTGGAGAGAAGAGGAAACCTTGACAGGGGCCCTCCTATACACATAAAACTTGAGGGATGTTGATCATAAAACCCCATAAAGAAACACTTTAGCTGTGGTTTAGAGTTGAAACCCTCCACCTGACTCCATACGATGCAGCTTGGTCTGGTCAAAGGGATGTCCAGTGTTAAAACATGCAAATAGTATATATTACAAATGGCTTTAGTTACAGATCAGGGCTGTGAACACAATAGAAAACTCAAAAAAAGCCTGCTGGTGGTCAGAGAAAAGAGGTCTGTAAATAAGTACAAATGAAAAGCAGTCACCCAAAACGACCCATTTCAAATAGAGCCGCAATCATTGATTAGTTCTTTTCATATCAGATTTATTGATAAGGGTTATGTAGTAATGTACTGTGGGAGTAGAAATGAGTGTCTATTGACAAAGTGCCATAGATGATGAGTAGTAACCATGGCGATAATGGTGGCGGTTGTTGTCGTTCCATTTGTTTCAGTCTTAATGAAGTCTGTTAGATCGCCATGGCAGCTCAAGGTCTCCGCACAGACGTTGAAAATGTCTCCCAGAAAAGAGGTCGCAGATGTGGTCTGTATTTCAGAGTTTCTTTATCACAACGATTGTAAGTGTTTGAGAGAGAGTAGAAAGATAGCAAGAAAGCAAGTACGTAGAAGGGGGAGAGACAGAGCGGGCAAGGAACAAGACATCTAGTGTGAAAGAGAGAGGATCAACCAGAGAACACCAGGTCAGGAGAGGAAAGAGGTGGTCTTCCGATGGTTTGTGTAGTAGTTAGCGGGCAGGCTGCTGATTGGTTGAGCCAGGCTTGGTGCAGTCCTCTGCTGTGCCAGGTGCATTGTGGGTCTTGTCTCATCGAGGCGCTGCAGAGTGGAGGCCACCAGGGATCATACCAGGTACCACCTGAGAGCGACAGAGAGATCAACTTTTATACTCGCTAATGGGGATCTCTACTCTAGCTTCTCTGCATGGAATCTCCATCTTATCATTCATTATACCTCATTCTCTTTACACAACACCACACTTAAATAAAAAATACCAGACATGTAATATCACAATATTCTTCATAAGGTTCAAGACATGCATGAAGGCTTGAAAATAGCTTCATATTGTCATAATTCTGAGTAGCAGCAGCAGTATTTCTGTGTAGTGCAGCAGACATGCTGAGGGTGATAGATAGATGAGAGTTAACAGCGATGGGCCACCTCATCACATGGCCTTAGTCTGGTGTGTCATTCACGTGTCAGAACAAGAAACCTAAATGCAGTATTCACACCAGCGTTTACGCTTTCAGCCATAGCGAACCTAAACTGTAGCTTGGGGAGAATTTCTGGAGACCTATGAAAAACCATGCCGCATTGAGCAGTGGTAAAAGTCAAGGGAGAAGAGGGTTTGAAGGACACTGGGGAGTTAGGAGCAGGATAGGACTCAATGCAGTCACATGCTGGAGAACGTCAGACAGGCATCACCACAGTCCAACCACTGCAACAAGCCACACGCACTGAGCTGAGGATAGGTCACAGAGCTAGGTGGGGTGACAGCTAGGAATAGGGCAAACACTAATTCCCCACATGGATTTGTTATCACAAGGCTGGAATGCAGCGCTCCAGCTCTCAAGGGCTGCAGTGTTTGATATAAATCAGACTCACACACTGATTAGTACACTATGAAAGGGAGGAGTCTGGCCTGCTGAAGTCTAGTTCCTTCTGTCATCAGCGATATCAGCTGCTAACATTGAAGCTACTTGTCTCCAGTGATCACCCGGGCTTAACTCCCTTTCATAGTATAACAGAGAGGAATGGAGAGCCTGACGACAGACAGTGCTGTCCAATAGGACTGGAGACCTGCATCCCTGGTGCTTTAGGACCCAGCGCCAGCCTGAGCGGGACTCACCAAGTGTGGCCATCGGGCGTTCACACGAGGACGTGGCGAGCGTCTACTTGGCGTGATGATCGAAGGGAATGCTATTCTGAGGTTGAAGGAGGGAGAGAGAAGGCTGTAGGTCAAGTCAGACAGGATCTGGGTCTGTAGTATGGCATGCTAACCATCACACCAATGCACTGGGAGTGGGAGATAAAAACTACAACTCCCATGACCACCTGGTGGAAACGTTAAGAGATGGGCAAGGAGGGTGGGGATGTTGACGCTGCCAAAGGAGGGTGGGTGGGGGGGATGTTGACGCTGCCTAAGGAGGGTGGGTGGGGGGGATGTTGACGCTGCCTAAGGAGGGTGGGTGGGGGGATGTTGACGCTGCCTAAAGAGAGTGGGGGGATGTTGACGCTGCCTAAGGAGAGTGGGGGGATGTTGACGCTGCCTAAGGAAGGTGGGTGGGATGTTGACGCTGCCTAAGGAGGGTGGGTGGGGGGGTGGATGTTGACGCTGCCTAAGGAGGGTGGGTGGGGGATGTTGACGCTGCCTATGGAGGGTGGGTGGGGGGAATGTTGACGCTGCCTAAGGAGAGTGGGGGTGATGTTGACGCTGCCTAAGGAGAGTGGGGGTGATGTTGACGCTGCCTAAGGAGGGTGGGTGGGATGTTGACACTGCCTAGAGTGGGGGGGATGTTGACACTGCCTAAAGAGAGTGGGGGGATGATGACGCTGCCTAAAGAGAGTGGGGGGATGTTGACGCTGCCTAAGGAAGGTGGGTGGGATGTTGACGCTGCCTAAGGAGGGTGGGTGGGGGGTGGATGTTGACGCTGCCTAAGGAGGGTGGGTGGGGGGGATGATGACGCTGCCTAAGGAGGGTGGAGGGATGTTGACGCTGCCTAAGGAGGGTGGGTGGGGGGGATGTTGATGCTGCCTAAAGAGAGTGGGGGGGATGTTGACGCTGCCTAAGGAGAGTGGGGGGGATGTTGACACTGCCTAAGGAGAGTGGAGGGGATGTTGACGCTGCCTAAGGAGAGTGGGGGGGATGTTGACGCTGCCTAAGGAGGGTGGGTGGATGTTGACGCTGCCTAAGGAGGGTGGGGGGATGTTGACGCTGCCTAAGGAGGGTGGGTGGGGGATGTTGACGCTGCCTAAGGAGTGGGGGGATGCTGACGCTGCCTAAGGAGAGTGGGGGGATGTTGACGCTGCCTAAGGAGAGTGGGGGGGAATGTTGACACTGCCTAAGGAGGGTGGGTGGATGTTGACGCTGCCTAAGGAGGGTGGGTGGGGGGGTGGATGTTGACGCTGCCTAAGGAGGGTGGGTGGGGGATGTTGATGCTGCCTAAGGAGGGTGGGTGGGGGGGATGTTGACGCTGCCTAAAGAGAGTGGGGGGGATGTTGATGCTGCCTAAGGAGAGTGGGGTGATGTTGACGCTGCCTAAGGAGAGTGGGGGTGATGTTGACGCTGACTAAGGAGAGTGGGGTGATGTTGACGCTGACTAAGGAGAGTGGGGGGATGTTGACGCTGCCTAAGGAGGGTGGGGGGATGTTGACGCTGCCTAAGGAGGGTGGGGGGATGTTGACGCTGCCTAAGGAGGGTGGGGGGCTGTTGACGCTGCCTAAGGAAGGTGGGTGGGGGGGTGGATGTTGACGCTGCCTAAGGAGTGGGGGGATGCTGACGCTGCCTGGAGAGTGGGGGGATGTTGACGCTGCCTAAGGAGAGTGGGGGGGGGGATGTTGACGCTGCCTAAGGAGGGTGGGGGGATGTTGATGCTGCCTAAGGAAGGTGGGTGGGATGTTGACGCTGCCTAAGGAGGGTGGGTGGGGGGATGGATGTTGACGCTGCCTAAGGAGGGTGGGTGGGGGATATTGATGCTGCCTAAGGAGGGTGGGTGGGGGGATGTTGACGCTGCCTAAGGAGAGAAGGGGTGATGTTGACGCTGCCTAAGGAGAGTGGGGTGATGTTGACGCTGCCTAAGGAGAGTGGGGTGATGTTGACGCTGCCTAAGGAGAGTGGGGGGATGTTGACGCTGCCTAAGGAGGGTGGGTGGGATGTTGACGCTGCCTAGAGTGGGGGGATGTTGACACTGCCTAAAGAGAGTGGGGGGATGATGACGCTGCCTAAAGAGGGTGGGGGGATGTTGACGCTGCCTAAGGAAGGTGGGTGGGATGTTGACGCTGCCTAAGGAGGGTGGGTGGATGTTGACGCTGCCTAAGGAGGGTGGGTGGGGGGGATGATGATGCTGCCTAAGGAGGGTGGGTGGGGGGGATGTTGACGCTGCCTAAAGAGAGTGGGGGGATGTTGACGCTGCCTAAGGAGAGTGGGGGGGATGTTGACGCTGCCTAAGGAGAGTGGAGGGGATGTTGACACTGCCTAAGGAGAGTGGGGGGGATGTTGACACTGCCTAAGGAGAGTGGGGGATGTTGACGCTGCCTAAGGAGGGTGGGGGGGTGTTGTCGCTGCCTAAGGAGGGTGGGTGGGGGATGTTGACGCTGCCGAAGGAGTGGGGGGATGCTGACGCTGCCTAAGGAGAGTGGGGGGATGTTGACGCTGCCTAAGGAGAGTGGGGGGGAATGTTGACACTGCCTAAGGAGAGTGGGGGGATGTTGACGCTGCCTAAGGAGGGTGGGTGGGGGGGTGGATGTTGACGCTGCCTAAGGAGGGTGGGTGGGGGATGTTGATGCTGCCTAAGGAGGGTGGGTGGGGGATGTTGATGCTGCCTAAGGAGGGTGGGTGGGGGGGATGTTGACGCTGCCTAAGGAGAGTGGGGTGATGTTGACGCTGCTTAAGGAGAGTGGGGGTGATGTTGAAGCTGCCTAAGGAGAGTGGGGTGATGTTGACGCTGCCTAAGGAGAGTGGGGGGATGTTGACGATGCCTAAGGAGGGGGGATGTTCAGGGTTTCCTCTCAATCCTGGGGTGGATTTCCTTCCCCCTCCTCTCCTTGTCTTGCTTTGGCAGGCTAAAGCCAGGGCCCTTTACATAGCTAGTTGAAGTTCCTCCCTCCAATAAACAGCTTTATGTTCATTCATGTTTGAAAAGATTAAGTGTTGAATCATGTTGATGCGATGCCGGCCTTATTGATGCACTGCTAGACGTATAGCTACACTTATTGACATCTAAAGACAGTCAAGAGACATTCCTGCTTCAAGTTTCGACTATAGGCAACTTTATTGGTTCGGTTCTGCATATTTCTCTGGAGGAGCGGGTCATGATGGGTCATGGTCGAATGAGGTCAAGGGTCATCTGGTGAGGGCCGGGGGATGCGGCTGGGGACGGGGTGAGCTTGTACCTGTGAGGTTGACATGCGGGAGGTGTCCTGGTGTCCCGTCAGGTCGGACGAGGAGACGTTAACGGGAGCTCCCCGGTGAAGCCGCATGCTCACTTTCCTCTCCCGCTCCATACCGGACACCGGTCGTGGAGACGTGTTGGCTAGAGAGCGAAGGGAGAAAGAGATAAATACTCCGCTACCTGACCATGACAAGACAATAGTCAAGCACATTGTTAAGTAATCCATACATCAAAGTCATCTAGGTGTGTGTGTGTGTGTGTGTGTGTGTCAGAAACACTAACCTGTGTGTGAGGTGGGTGTGAGGGGTGTAGGCGGCGCTGCGTCCTGTGTTCCTCGGGGTCGTCCTGAGGCGGCAGGGAGTCCCCTGGCCCCGGGGTTCCTGCCGTGTCTCAGCCTATCCTCTCGGTCCCTCCGCTCCCGCTCCGCCTCCTCCGCTGCACGGTTGGCCCCCTTGGAATTAGGGGCAGTCAGAGGGACAGAAATGGAGACTAGATCAGAAAGCTGCCACTGAGGTACCATTGGCTAATGGTTAAGAGGACTGTGTAATAAATCATTCATATTTGTTTAATAGATGTTTAATTAACAATTAAGAGGCAGTACTCACAAACTTGAGCATGTTCCAGTCAAAGACGTAGTCGTAGGAGAAGCCCTGTCTGTGGAACAGGTTTCTGAACAGCTGTCTCAGGTACGAGTAGTCTGGCTTGTCATCGAACCGCAGAGAGCGACAGAAGTTCAGGTAGGTGGAGAACTCCGCTGTGAGGAAGGAGGAAAGTGTTACTTTTAATCCGAATATTTTATCATAATCTTTTAAAATCAGAATACTTTATCATCTGGAAGGGAAATTCTTTCCCATGTTTACAGGGTCACAGCATGGTCTCTTTGTAGAGAGGTGCAGAAAGGACAAGACAAATGGACAGAAACACTCCAACAGTATTTTGTTACTACATGACAAGCACAGAAACCTTCAGTACACTATAACAAGGATGGAATAAACCTAGAAAATCCCATTACTCACAGGGGTATCCCTTGCAGAGCACCTCGATAGGGGTGGACATCTTCTTTTCGCTGATGCGTTCGTACTTCTGCCTCTTGGTGGCGGCCTTGAGGCCCTGCCAGGGCAGAGAGCCCATGTTGAAGTACATCAGGACATAACCCAGAGACTCCAGGTCATCACGACGAGACTGCTCTGTTGAGGGAGAGAGGAGAAAGTCACATACCTTCAAAAAGCATCCTTCCTTTCCTCAAAGAAATTACAGATCTGACATGACTGAAAGATAAGTGCTCCACTATCAGGCTTGTGCTGAGGAGTGTGTGCGCATAGCGTTTATGATAGCGTGTGATCAATCTCCGGATGTGTGTGACCTACCTATCCCCAAGTGTGTGTTGATAGATGCGTAGCGCGCGGTGCCGGTCAGGTTCTTGTTCTCGCGGTAGGGGATGTGCTGGTGTGTGCGGGCGTCACGGTACTTCTTGGCCAGGCCAAAGTCGATGATGTACACCAGGTTACCCTTCTTGCCCAGGCCCATCAGGAAGTTGTCAGGCTTCACATCTCTGTGGATGAAGTTCTTAGAGTGGATGTACTCAATCCGGCTGATCTGGAAGAGAGGAGGGAAATTTTAACATACAGTACCAGTCAAAATTTTGGACACACCTACTCATTCAAGGGTTTCTTTATTTTGACTAATGTCTACATTGTAGAATAATAGTGAAGACATCAAAACTATGAAATAACACATATGGAATCATGTAGTAACCAAAAAAAGTGTTAAACAAATCAAAATATATTTTATATTTGAGATTCTTCAAATAGCCACCCTTTGCCTTGATGACAGCTTTGCACACTCTTGGCATTCTCTCAACCAGCTTCACCTGGAATGCTTTTCCAACAGTCTTGAAGGAGTTCCCACATATGCTGAGCACTTGTTGGCTGCTTTTCCTTCACTCTGCCGTCCGACTCATCCCAAACCATCTCAACTGGGTTGAGGTCAGGTGATTGTGGAGGCCAGGTCATCTGATGCAGCACTCCATCACTCTCCTTCTTGGTCAAATATCCCTTACACAGCCTGGAGGTGTGTTGGGTCATTGTCCTGTTGAAAAACAAATGATAGTCCCACTAAGCACAAACCAGATGGGATGGCGTATCGCTGCAGAATGTTGTGGTAGCCATGCTGGTTAAGTGTGCCTTGAATTCTAAATAAATCACAGATAGTGTCATCAGCGAAACACCCCCACACTTCCTCCTCCATGCTTCACGATGGGAACCACACATGCAGAGATCATCCATTCACCTACTCTGGGTCTCACAAAGACACGGCGGTTGGAACCAAAGGACAAATTTCCACCAGTCTAATGTCCATTGCTCGTGTTTCTTGGTCCAAGCAAATCTCTTATTATTATTGGTGTCCTTTAGTTGTGGTTTCTTTGCAGAAATTCGACCATGAAGGCCTGATTCATGCAGTCTCCTCTGAACAGTTGATGTTGAGATGTGTCTGTTACTTGAACTCTGTGAAGCATTTATTTGGGCTGCAATTTCTAAGGCTGGTAAATCTAATGAACTTGTCCTCTGCAGCAGAGGTAACTCTGGGTCTTCCATTCCTGTGGCGGTCCTCATGAGAGCCAGTTTCATCATAGCGATTGATGTTTTTTGCGACTGCACTAGAAGAAACTTTGAAAGATCTTGAAATGTTCCATATTGACTAACCTTCATATCTTAAAGTAATGATGGACTGTCGTTTCTCTTTGCTTATTTGAGCTGTTCTTGTCATAATATGGACTTTTACCAAATAGGGCTATCTTCTGTATACCCCCCCTACCTTGTCACAACACAACTGATTGGCTCAAACATATTAAGAAGGAAAGAAATTCCACAAATTAACTTTTAACAAGGCACACCTGATAATTGTTTTAATACATTCCATGGCAAGAGTGTGCAAAGCTGTCATCAAGGCAAAGGGTGGCTACTTTGAAGAATCTCAAATATATTTTGATTTGTTTAACATGTTTTTTGGTTACTACATGATTCATTTACATTACATTTACGTCATTTAGCAGACGCTCTTATCCAGAGCGACTTACATTATTATTATTTTTTTTCATACCCCCTGTGGGAATCGAACCCACAACTCTGGCGTTGCAAACGCCATGCTCTATCAACTGAGCTACATCCCTGCCGGCCATTCCCTCCCCTACCCTGGACGACGCTGGGCCAATTGCGCGCCGCCCCATGGGTCTCCCGGTCACGGCCGGCTACGACAGAGCCTGGATTCGAACCAGGATCTCTAGTGGCACAGCTAGCACTGCGATGCAGTGCCTTAGACCACTGCGCCACTCAGGAGACAGATTCCATATGTGTAATTTCATAGTTTTGATGTCTTCACTATTATTCTACAATGTAGAAAAACACTGGAATGAGTAGGTGTGTCCAAACTTTTGACTGGTACTGTACATAAGAGCAGGGGTGGCCACTAAACCTCTTGGACAGCTTTACTTTGCTAGCAGATTTCATAGCACATAGTGGCCATAACTGCAGAAGATATACGGGACCCTAATAGCCAGCATAAGAGCTGAGGATTTAATGGTCAGTTGTGTGTCTCACCATCTGGTCAGCCAGCAGCAGGACAGTCTTGAGGCTGAACTTGCGGGAGCAGAAGTTGAACAGGTCCTCCAGACTGGGGCCTAGCAGCTCCATCACCATCACGTTGTAGTCTCCCTCTGCACCACACCACTTTATGGACGGGATGCCCACTGTAGAGAAAGGAAGGAGAGAGTGATTCATAAGGATGCCCACTGTAGAGAAAGGAAATCCCATTCTTTATTGGGTTTAACATGATTTATTGTGTGATACCTAGCCCACGCAAGTGCTGTTTCTCTGGCTCTGTGATCTGATGACAGGTTCCACTGAATCTATTCTCTTAGGCTGCTGGCCGGCCTGATTGACTGATGTGGATGACTGCCTGCCTGCTTGTCCAGCGATGTGAAAACCACATTAACATTGGGGGAAGGGGGAAAAGAGGGTGAGAGGGGCGAGAAGGAAGATGGAGGGGGTAGATAGAAGGGGGAGATGAGAGAAAGAGGAGAAGACTGGGGAGAGAGAGGTGAAGAGTGGGGAGAGAGCACGAGAGAGAGAGAGAGAGAGAGAGAGAGAGAAGAGCAGAGAGAGAGAGGAGAAGACTTGGGAGAGAGGTGAAGAGTGGGGAGAGAGAGAGTTTTAGCTATTGAGAGAGGGGAAGAGAGAGAGGAGAAGAGTGCAGAGAGAGAGAGAGGTAGAGCGAGAGGAGAAGAGAGGGGGTAGAGAGAGGTAGAGCGAGAGGAGAAGAGAGGGGAGAGAGAGGTAGAGAGAGAGGACTGATAGCCCACAGCCTGGCCCATGTATACTGTTTCAGACCCATGTCTCACCTCCTCCCTGCATCATCTTGTAGATCTTACTCTCTATGTGGAGCTGGGGGTGTTTGGTCTTCACACATTCCAGTTTAATGGCCACCTCCTCTCCCACTGAGATGTCTGTGCCTGGGGGACAAAGAGGAAATACTGTCAATATAAATGTATGTAGATGGTTAGAGAGCCATCAGGGGTATTATTGCTTTCGGTTCAGAATATGATTTAGGCCTAGAAAGGACTAGGGCCTGGACAGTTTTACCTGACCAGGAAGGGGAAACTCTGGGGCCTGGTGATGTGCATGCCCCTGCTGACTGAGCATTGCGGCACAGACAGGTGAAAAATCTGTTGATGTGCCCTTGAGCAAGACACAACCTTAATGGCTCTTGTAAGTTGCTCTGGTTAAGAGTGTCTGCTAAATGACTAAAATGTAGATGGGGCATACAGTGGGGAAAAAAAGTATTTAGTCAGCCACCAATTGTGCAAGTTCTCCCACTTAAAAGGATGAGAGAGGCCTGTAATTTTCATCATAGGTACACGTCAACTATGACAGACAAATTGAGAAAAAAAAATCCAGAAAATCCCATTGTAGGATTTTTAATGAATTTATTTGCAAATTATGGTGGAAAATAAGTATTTGGTCACCTACAAACAAGCAAGATTTCTGGCTCTCACAGACCTTTAACTTCTTCTTTAAGAGGCTCCTCTGTCCTCTACTCGTTACCTGTATTAATGGCACCTGTTTGAACTTATTATCAGTATAAAAGACACCTGTCCACAACCTCAAACAGTCACACTCCAAACTTCACAATGGCCAAGACCAAAGAGCTGTCAAAGGACACCAAAAACAAAATTGTAGACCTGCACCAGGCTGGGAAGACTGAATCTGCAATAGGTAAGCAGCTTGGTTTGAAGAAATCAACTGTGGGAGCAATTATTAGGAAATGGAAGACATACAAGACCACTGATAATCTCCCTCGATCTGGGGCTCCACGCAAGATCTCACCCCGTGGGGTCAAAATGATCACAAGAACGGTGAGCAAAAATCCCAGAACCACACAGGGGGACCTAGTGAATGACCTGCAGAGAGCTGGGACCAAAGTAACAAAGCCAACCATCAGTAACACACTACGCCGCCAGGGACTCAAATCCTGCAGTGCGAGACGTGTCCCCCTGCTTAAGCCAGTACATGTCCAGGCCCGTCTGAAGTGCATTTGGATGATCCAGAAGAGGATTGGGAGAATGTCATATGGTCAGATGAAACCAAAATATAACTTTTTGGTAAAAACTCAACTCGTCATGTTTGGAGGACAAAGAATGCTGAGTTGCATCCAAAGAACACTATACCTACTGTGAAGCATGGGGTTGGAAACATCATGCTTTGGGGCTGTTTTTCTGCAAAGGGACCAGGACGACTGATCCGTGTAAAGGAAAGAATGAATGGGGCCATGTATCGTGAGATTTTGAGTGAAACCCTCCTTCCATCAGCAAGGGCATTGAAGATGAAACGTGGCTGGGTCTTTCAGCATGACAATGATCCCAAACACACCGCCCGGGCAACGAAGGAGTGGCTTCGTAAGAAGCATTTCAAGGTCCTGGAGTGGCCTAGCCAGTCTCCAGATCTCAACCCCATAGAAAATCTTTGGAGGGAGTTGAAAGTCTGTGTTGCCCAGCGACAGCCCCAAAACATCACTGCTCTAGAGGAGATCTGCATGGAGGAATGGGCCAAAATACCAGCAACAGTGTGTGAAAACCTTGTGAAGACTTACAGAAAACGTTTGACCTGTGTCATTGCCAACAAAGGGTATATAACAAAGTATTGAGAAACTTTTGTTATTGACCAAATACTTATTTTCCACCATCATATGCCAATAAATTCATTAAAAATCCTACAATGTGATTTTCTGGATTATTTTTTCTCATTTTGTCTGTCATAGTTGACGTGTACCTATGATGAAAATTACAGGCCTCTCTCATCTTTTTAAGTGGGAGAACTTGCACAATTGGTGGCTGACTAAATACTTTTTTTCCCCACTGTATACACCAACTCCCATTCATATCATACCAGTCAGATAAACAAACCAACTTTAACTGTAACCTTAACGTTTCCTTATGAGGAGTACTGCCAGCATGTGACCAGAATGCGATTATTCTAAAAAGGGAAGATGGGTTCCCTCCCAGAACTGTGCTGTAAGAACATGGGAGTAGAGAGTGAAGCACACCCATCACACCCTGCCCAGCAGCAGTGAAAACAGGAATCCAGAGTATGACTAGAGCAGCTATAGATGGCCAGCAGAGCCTATAGAGGAGCGTTACCCAGGAACATGAAAGAATGTTTCATATGTGAAAGACCGGCCAATATGTTAAATAAGAGTTTCAATGTCAAACACACCTAGCTTGTTACTTTAGTACTGGGCCTACTTCTCTTTGGGCAGCTTGCAAAAGCTACAATTGTAAAAATGCATTGAAGATGTGCACATTTGCTGCTCGTGTGCTAGCAGTGGGAAAACGGGAGCTTTATAAATCTGACATTTAATTTCAAAAGTAGGCTACAGTCCATGTGTGGAACTCTAAGTGAGCGTCAACTACACAACAGAGCCACCAGCCAGCGAATGACTCAGACCCTCTCCTGAAAAGCACTGCAAGACGGGAGAGCTGACGGGAGAGGACGTGTTTTTCTCTGGCTGGAGGTAAGTAGGTAAGTAGGGGTAAGCTACATGTAGTGTTGAGTAAAGCTTAACCATGTATTAGATCGTAGGTAGGTAGTTAGCTGTAGTTAGGTATTGTATTTATTGTAGGTTAGTATTGTTGTTATTGTAGCTTTCCGTGGGTAATTTGTGGGTTAGTTTCGAGGCATGAGGCTAGCTAGCTAGCGGGTAGCTATTGGTAACGATTAGCAACGCTGGAGAGCTGGTTCCAACGGTAATGTACTCCTACCCAACGTTTAACTTTTGCTTAACCATGTATTAGATCGTAGGTAGGTAGCTAGCTGTAGTTAGGTATTGAATTTATTGTAGGTTAGTATTGTGGTTGTAGTAGCTTTCCATAGGTAATTGTGGACTAGTATCGAGGCACGAGGCTAGCTAGCTAGCGGGTAGCTATTGGTAACGATTAGCAACGCTGGAGAGCTGGTTCCAACGTTTAATTATTATTATTATTATTATTATTTTTTTTTTTTTTTTTTTGCTGCGTTGTGAAGGGAACTCGACACGGACTTGAATTGTCTGTTTGGTGTGCTGACACACTCTTGGCAGTTTGTTGTGGCCAGGTGTTGATGCTAAGTTGTGTGTTAATGGATGCTAGCTTGCAGGTTGGCTACGGCGTCATAGCTAGGCTTCGTGGGTTGTTGTGGGTAGTTACTGTGTCTTGGCAGTGTCCTCGGCCGTGCCAGCTGTAGCACGAAGCTAGCTAGCTAGCCGTTCTTCAAACAGAGTCGACACAGTGGCCATTGCTAGCTACCCAACATGACCATTTGGCTGTACTGTAGTAGCTAACCACAATTTACTTGTCCTAGCTAGCCAACGTCTAATCATTGCTGCGTCATATAAGGAACTTGACACAGACACGAATGATCTGTTTAGTGTGATATCACAATATTGGTGGTTTGTTGTGACCAAGTGTTGGCGCTAAACGGTGTGTTATTGTTATTGGATGCTAGTCTGCTAGTTGGCTATGGAGTCATAGTTGGCTAGCTGAACAAAGTGGGTTGAGTCTACTCCTTTAAACATTGAACCGCTGTGGTTCACAACAATTCTGATTTCCAAAGGCGGAAGTTGGGAGAGTTTTTGTTCGGGTGGTTCAGTGAAACAATTTTAGTTTCCGAGCTAGAAGATTTGGTGAGGGAGGCCCTGCTCTCTCCACTCCCAGATGCTTAGCCCATTTCATTCCGATCTCCTCTGCATTTTTGTAGCCATTTGCTACAGCCTGTCAACTATGCCTCTGCCTATCCCTGTTCTCTCCTCTCTGCACAGGCTACACAAACGCACCACACCGCGTGGCTGCTGCCTCTCCAATTTGGTGGTCCCTGCACGCACCACCCACGTGGAGTTCCAGGTCGCAGGCAGCCTCTGGAACTGCCGTTCTGCTGCCAACAAAGCTGACTTCATCCCAGCCTATGCCAACCTCCAGTCCCTCGACTTCCTGGCGCTGACGGAAACATGGATCACCACTGAAAACACCGCTACTCCTACTGCTCTCTCCTCGTCTGACCATGTGTTCTCGCATACCCCGAGAGCATCTGGTCAGAGGGGTGGTGGTACAGGAATCCTCATCTCTCCCAAGTGGACATTCTCAATTTTTCCCCTAACCCATCTGTCTATCTCCTCATTTGAATTCCATGCTGTCACAGTCACTAGCCCATTTAAGCTTAATATCCTTGTCATCTATCGCCCTCCAGGTTCCCTTGGAGAGTTCATCAATGAGCTTGACGCCTTGATAAGTTCCTTCCCTGAGGATGGCTCACCCCTCACAGTTTTGGGGGATTTCAACCTCCCTATGTCCACATTTGACTCATTTCTCTCTGCCTCCTTCTTTCCACTCCTCTCCTCTTTTGACCTCACCCTCTCACCGTCCCCCCCTACTCACAAGGCAGGCAATACGCTTGACCTCATCTTCACTAGATGCTGCTCCTCTACTAATCTCACTGCAACTCCCCTCCAAGTCTCCGACCACTACTTTGTTTCCTTTTCTCTCTCACTCTCCTCCCACACTACTCACTCTGCCCCTACACAGATGGTAATGCGCCGCCGCAACCTTCGCTCTCTCTCTCCCACTACTCTCTCCTCTTCCATCCTATCATCTCTTCCCTCTGCTCAATCCTTCTCCCTCCAATCTCCTGATTCTGCCTCCTCAACCCTCCTCTCCTCCCTTTCTGCATCCTTTGACTCTCTGTGTCCCCTATCCTCACGGCCGGCTCGGTCCTCCCCTCCAGCTCCGTGGCTTGATGACTCATTGCGAGCTCACAGAACAGAGCTCCGGGCAGCGGAGCGGAAATGGAAGAAAACTAAATTCCCTGCCGACCTGGCATCTTTTCACTCCCTCCTCTCTACATTTTCTTCATCTGTTTCTGCTGCTAAGGCCACCTTCTACCACTCTAAATTCCAAGCATCTGCCTCTAACCCTAGGAAGCTCTTTGCCACATTTTCCTCCCTCCTGAATCCTCCCCCCCCCCCCCTCCCCCCCCTCCTCTCTCTCTGTGGATGACTTCGTCAACCACTTTGAAAAGAAGGTTGACGACATCCGATCCTTGTTTGTTAAGCCTAATGACACTGCTGGTCCTGCTCACACTGCCCTACCCTATGCTTTGACTTCTTTCTCCCCTCT